GTGGCGGTGTCCGCATGCGTTCCCCCCATCTGGTACAACGTTTCGTGGCCCCGTAATGGGGGCTCCACCGAAGGCCCCAGCGGCGGTGTCTGCAGGCGTTTCCCCCATCCAGCACGGCGTTTCGTGGCCCCATGGGGAGCTCCACCGAAGCCCCCAGTGGCGGTGTTCGAATGCGTCTACCCCACTCAGTGCAGCGTTTCGTGGGCCCATAGGGAGCTCCACCGAAGGCCCCAGTGGCGACGTTCGCATGGGGAGTGTCACTTCCGAGGAGCAGAAAAATGGAGGGGGGGGAGCTTCCAGCAGGGGAGGTCCAAAGGCGGGGGGGTAGCTAAGCTCCCCCCTCCCTTGGGGAAGGGAGGGTGGGGTGGGGTGCTTCCGGAGCGCCAAAGGAGGGGGCGGGGGGTCGCTTCGGAGGGGCGGAAAAAAAAGGAGGGGGGTGAGCTTGTGGCAGGGGAGGTCCAAGAGGGGGGGGCAGCTAAGCCCCCCACGCCCCTTTTGGGAAAGGGAGGGGAGGGGGGAGCTTTCGGAGCGCGAAAGGAGGGTCGGGGGGGGGTTAGCTTCCGAGGCTGCAACCGCCATGTGGGCATCAGGGCTCCTTCGGGGCACCCTGGTCGGCGGGCAGGAACAAGGGCTCGGCGCAATCGGAAGGGGGACATGGGTGGGAGGGGAAGGGCTTCAGGCGGGGCGCGAGCGCACCCAGGCTGCCCCCCTCCCGCTCTCTCCCTTCCCCCCTCCACCCTCCCGCCCCTCCGCGCTGCCCCCTCCACCCTTCGGAGCTGCGCCGGTCCCCCCCGTCGACCCGCGCGCCCTTGGCCCCAGGAGTCGACGTACCAGCACGAGCGCGACAACATCCTCCAGGACTCTGGATCAGGGCGTCGCAGAAGAATCGCGACCGCCGGGCTGTTCTACGTTTCGGCTTCCGGAGGCCGTTTCCCGGCCCAGAGACCGTCAAAAAACGGCCAAGGATGAAACGCCAGTTTTTGGGAAGAGGTCGAGACCCTCGGGTGCCCACGTCGCGGAGAAAGTGTGCCCATCGGAGGAGGGGGTCCTCCTTTCTCTCTTGCGGCTGCAACCTTCGAGCCAGAGTGAGAGCCACTCTCGGAAGCAGCCTCCTGCCGCTCCTTGCCGCGCAGTGCGCGCGCGCACCTGTGTTTGTGCCGCGGTCGTCCCCTCCTTCCCCACTGGAAAAACAAGACAAGCAGCGAGGACCTCGCGCAGCGCGCGCGGGACGACGCGAGGGCGGCGTTCCTCGCGGGGGAGGATTCCTCCGTCGACGTTGACAGCTACCTGGACCGTCCCAGCGGCCCGCAGGAGAGCGTTATTTAAACCCTCAGGGCCATACCGCGCATGATGCCCCCCTTCCTCCCCCCCCTCATAACGTAACGTTCCCCCCCTCAGTGCGTCTCTGGCACTGCCGCAGTGCGTCCAGTACCACAGTTTGGAAGGGGCCGTTAGGTTGTGCTTCCCCCGTCTCCCGCCCATCCCCCCCCATAACGCCCGTTTCATGGCGCCAACATAGCAAAGCGGATTCGTTCGGAAAACAATGGGATGGGCCCGGATTGTCCTGGCGAGTTTCGTTCTGGATTTCGAAGTGAATTGCGTTCGGATGCTTTTAGTGAATTTCGTGCGGATGTTTTTTTGTGCCAGGAACGAAGGCTACAACACATCCACGTGAAATTCGCTTCGTTTTTCGCTCGCCGTTTCGGAGTTTGACAGAAATCCACGCAGCAATCCGCTGCAGCACGTCTGCAAGGTCGGTGCAGTGACCCGTTATGGCCGCGAATAAGACGACGCGCTCCAGCTGTCCGAGCTCGCCAAGGGCCGCGCCCTGGCCGCGCACGCGAGGTGGCTGCTGAACGGACCAGCGCACGGCCTGGCCGACCCCCTGGCCGCGTCCGCCTCGGAGGGCCTTGGCGCGGTCTTCGAGTAGGGGATCGACTACAGAGTTGATGTACCCCAGAGTCAATTTCCCCCGTCGAATCTACGACGAAGGCGTAGAGTTTTCGCACATATACTGGGACCTCGGAGCGTTTTTTCCGTAGATTCGACGAGGGAATTCATGTTGGGGTAAATCAATTCTGTAGTCGATCCCCTACTCGAGGTCTGGGCCGGAGTGCCGGAGACGCTGCGCCCGCGCCTCAGGTCGAGAGGGTCGAGACCCTGAGATCCTGGCGTTGCAGTTCTTTTGCACCGGGCGTTTTGGCTCGACGTGGGGCCCTGCTGGGGCCCTCACAGATCGATCCGGCTCCAAGAATGCCGCAGAAAGACGGGGTCCGGGGCTCTGGTCGTGATTATTTCCGATGTTGCATTTCTTTCTGCAGTGTCGGATCTCAGGGGATGTGGACGGAGAGGGTTTCTGGGGGACGGGGTCCACCAGCAGTTCCTGCCCATCCTGGGCAGGGCTCGCCGTCGGTGTCGTTGCGGTCGTTGTCCGCTTGGGAGGAGACGTCGCCGCAGGATCAGCGGCCTCTGTAGGTTCGGGGCAGCACCTGCTGTCGGGTATCGCCCCCGCTGTTCTTGTCCGTCCCCGCTTCTCGCGCGTGCCGATCAGGGAGATGTGCGGGCGGCTCGCGCGCGGGGAGGAGCCCTTGCTGCCGGACGGCCTCGGGCGGCACGCCGACGGCGCGTCTCCAGGGGAGGAGGCGGACGAGGAGGCAGCCGCGCGGCGCGCGCGCCTGCGTTCTCGCGCAGCGCGGGTGCGGACGGAGCTGGAGGTGGCCACTGCGCCCCACGTGGAAGCGATCCGGCTGTTCGCGCGCGACAGCGAGAGCCCAGGCGATGCCGAGATCATCTTTCCACCCACACTGACGCCAGATCAGAGGGGCTTTCTGCACCAGCTGGCGGAGCAGCTCGGGCTGCTCCACGAGAGCGTCGGTGAGGGCTCGGAGCGGTCACTGGTGGTCCGCAAGTTCTCCCTGGACCTGGACGAATGGGTGGTGCTCCCAGGCCTCTCGCCGTGACGGGTCACCCCTAGTGTGCGGTGTTCTGGTTGTAGCAGGCCCTCCCTCCCGCTGCCGTAGGTCGTTCCAGTTTCGCACCCATCTCTTCTCATGCCACGAACGGTATCGATCTCCTTCTTGTCGTACAAGCGCATGCTAGCCACCTGCCCATTCGCACTGATCCGAGAATGATCATGGCCCACCCTTTTCGTCTCTGCCAACAGAAGAACGCAACGTGATTGCGTGGCGCCAGCGCATGGCCCAGATTCTGCCCGCAAAGTGCATGTTGCATGATCGTTTGGCAAGGGCGGTGGGGGTGTGTTGTCATGGTTCCGTGCTCGCTTCCTGTCAGGCTGTGTGTGTAGACAGAAGGAACAGAGATAAGCCAAACATCCAGCAGGGGAAGAAAGGGTTTTGCAACAGGGAAGACACATCGTTAGACCGCCCAAGCCCAGAGGGCTAGTGGGAGTAGCGTGTTGCGCAGTGGATGCCTTCTTGTATTCGTCTCCGTCTTCATGGGTTTCCTCTCTCTTCTTCGAGCCGTTCTCGTCGTGTCCGACAGAGCAGCGGTTTTCTGCTAATCCGTTGCCTGTCAGCATAGGGGCGGAGTGGCGCCAAAAAACATGCTGCATGTATGCGCTGGGGAAGCGGGAGGCTGTCCGTGCTTGTGCTACCCAGGGTATGGCTTGAGGCCTCGAGCATCTCCTCTTCCTGTGCCCACACCTGCCTGCTGCCTCGCCACGTGCTCTTTCCCATCAGAATCGATCCTGGTACGTGGACTCCAAACATTTGAAGAGGGCTAACAGGTCAAGCGGGGCCAGTCCCTCACGGCGCAGACCGATCCGACTCCGTACCAATGCAGACCGATCCGACGCACCCTCCAATCCGATCCGATATCCCGGCCCGATGCTGACCGCCGCCTTCCTGCGCCTGTTCCTCCTCCAGGAGTCCAGCGGTTGGGCTGCAGCCCCACCGATGCGCTGCCAGAGAGCTGAGAGCTCTAGCGCGAGAGGCAGCGCCCGTGCCGGCCCTGCCCTGGCTGGCGTTCCGCACTCGGAGAGCCCCTGTGGCCCATCTCCTCTCTCCCCACCCAGCAGCATTGCATCGCCTCTGCCCGCCGCGCAGGCCGCTGTCCCGCCGCCTCGTCCTCGGCCCCTGCCGGCGGCGGGCAGGCCGGGCCTGCCGCGGCCGCGTGGCGGCGGGCCTCCGAGGCGCGGGGCGGCCGGCGGGCCGCGGGGCCGCCGCCGCCAGCGACGGCGGGGGTGTCCCACCGAGCGCGTGCCACTACTCGCAAGGTGCCTACGCGCAAACGTCAGAAGAAACACGTGTCTTCCTCTACGCCATGGATCGTAAATCCCCCGCAGCGGATCCGGGCCACTTGCAAGGAGCTGCTCTGCGAGAAGTGGAACGCGCTTGTCTACACTGTCAGAAGTCCGAGTTCTCCTTTCCGCTCGGGGGCTTTCGGAGGCGGCGGGCTTCGGAGGTTTTTCCCAGCCATCCTGTGGTGTTGGGTCCTCGTTTTGAAGAGACAGTCCCCGCGTTCCTTTCCTTCTCTCCTCCTCCCCCTCCTCCTCCGCTCTTCCTCCTACCTCCTCCTACCCTTGCCTCTGCTCGCCGCACGTCATCATCATCATCATCATCATCATCATCATCATCATCATCATCATCATCATCATCATCATCATCATCATCATCATCATCATCATCATCATCATCATCATCATCATCATCATCATCATCATCATCATCATCATAATCATAATCATCATCATCATAATCATCATCATCATCATCAGCATCATCATCATCACCATCATCATCATCATCAGCATCATCATCATCGTCACCATCATCATCATCGTCACCACCACCATCATCATCATCATCATCATCATCATCATCATCATCATCATCATCATCATTATCAGCGTCATTATCAGCGTCATCGTCATCGTCATCGTCATCGCCATCGCCATCGCCATCGCCATCATAAGCATCCTCATCATCATCGGCATCATCCTTATCATCATCATCACCATCATCATCACCATCATCACCATC